TGAGAGGGACAGGCTGGGGCTGGACCACGTGAGGAACCTCCGGTGTCCCCCTAAATGCTGGGGGCAGCAGCGTGGGGAATGAGCTGGTCTGGGTCTGCCCCCTCCCTAGAATCCTCCTGGGGCAGCTCTGGCCCAGCACAGCCAGGGAGCCCCAGCCAATGCCCCCGCCCAGGACACCGGGAGGTCAGTGTGGTCACTGTGTCCCCACACCATGCTCCCTGCAGGCCCCCCCGGGCCAGCCGCCACATGCCCCCCACCCGCTCAGGCTGACCTCCTCGAACGCTCTCGCCAAGATCATTGGGAAAGGCCCAGGGGAGCCGCCAGCTCCCAAAATAACCTCCCACCAGTTCCAGGACATCTGTGGGGGGCGGAGTCCCAGAACCCCAAGCTGAGAGCCCCGTGCAGGGTGGAGGCTGGGAATGGGGACACGGGTGGGGGCCAGGGAGGGAGAGAGAGGGACAGGGAGAGAAGAGGAGATGGACAGAGACCAGTAGAGGCGCGTGGAGGAACGGGGCCAGGGAAGGGGGCAGAGGCGATGCGTGGAGCGTGGGGCACCGGCCAGCACTCGTCTCAGGCTGGGCAGCCCCCAGCCCCTTTAGAAGGGCGGGCCACGTGGGCCTCCAGAGGAGGGAGCGGGCTGTACCCCTGAGATGAGGTCTGGCTGGGTGGGCAGCTGAGCAGAAGGTGGATGTTGGATGGATGATCGGCGCCGGGAGCGGGGCCTTCACAGCCCAGCAGCCCCATCTGACCAGGTTGGGCCCCACAGGGCCTCAGAGGCTCCGAAGGAATCCTCTCTTAGGCTCTCTATTTTCCCAGGGGGAAACTGAGGCTCAGAGAGGCCGAGTATCTTGTCTGAGGACCACAGCACGCGAGAGGCAGGCGAGGACTCTTTCCCCTCTGTGTCCTTCACGTACTTGCTCCCCACTCCCCCAGCTGGCAAGCTTCCCCTGCCCTGGGTCACTCGGGGTTGGGGACTGTCCCCTGAGCAGTGTGGCCAGAACTAGCTGAACTTGTGGAATTCCCCAGCCCGAGGAGCAGCAGGGCGGGCGAGAGCCCCGGTGGGCCGGCACCTGGGGATGGGGGAGAGACTGTGGCGGAGGGGGCTGCCCAGGGAGCCCGGCCCTCCCCGCCCCAGGGCGCGGCCTGGAATTCTGGGAAGTGGGAACTGCGGGGTGTTTTCTTGACATTAAAGGGTCTTTACTGCAAGACCCCTAGCCCGGTCCGCACGGTTCATCCATCCATCCATCCATCATTCATTCAACAAACATTGAGTACATGCTCATTGTGTGGGGGGAGCCGGGCGGCCGCAGTGGGTGAGGAGAAGTCTCGGTGGAAGACTGAGGCCAGAGCAGGTGGACCCTGAGGCCACCTGGACGCGGTGGGGGCCCGTGTGGGTGCACGGGGAGGTGGGCAGCCGTGGGCTGCTCTGGGGTCTGCAAGGTAAGGTCAGGGTCGGGACTCTGCAGGGTCTGGGGTGCCCCCAGCCCACACATCCTGGAGAGGGGTCGTGATGTTTTCTACCCAAAACCAAGACTGTCCATTAAATGACCCCACCTCCACCCCACGCCATCAAGGTCCTGCTTGTTTTGTGATGGTGGGAATTTTGCAACGTGTTTCTTGGACTAGAAAAGAAAAGAATAACCACTTGTGTGTCTAACTCCAGTGGTGCTGGAGGGCCTTCTGTGCGATGGGGAAGCCCAGCAAGGGTCAAGTTCAAGAAGGGAGTGCCTAGCAGGTCCCTGAGGGGGCAGTGGACCAGGGGAGGGGCAGATTGACCCAAGGCAGGTGCCCACCTGTCCCTCGGGCCACAGCAGGATGCTCTGGAGGAGGGCCAGGGTGGGCGGGACTCCGGAGCCCAGGACAGAGGCCAGGCCACCCTCAGGGGACAGGAGAGGGCGCGGGGGGAATGGTGCAGAGCGGAGGGCATGGTCGGCCGATCTCCCCATTGAAATGGTGGGAGAGGCCCCTGAGAGGGGCCTCAGCTTGAGCTTAGCCACAGGAGGCCTGGGGGAGGCAGAGGGCAAGGCCGAGTGGGCGGGGAGGAAGTGGAGACCCTTGCACTCCCCTTGCCTCCTTTCACTTCCTTGGCCTCTCCCCTCCCCCGCCCCTCCCCACGGAGACACAGGCTCGGGGCCTGGGCGCAGCATGCCAGCTCACCCCGGCCGCCGGGCCACCAGGGCCCCTCCACCCCATCCCCTCTCTGACTGCTGCTCCCATTTCCCCAGGCTGGGACGGGACACGAGATTCTTTCAAAAACATTTCCTTTGCAAAATAATCCTTCGAAATATGTTTTTGGAAATGAAATCCTGATCAGAACAGGAAGAAGTTAATTACAGCCCCTCCCCAGAGGGGCGCGGGGAAGGAAGCCTGGTGGTCAGAAACACGAGTAAGGGCCAGGTTGGCGGCTCTGACGCCCCACCCACGCGTGGCCTCAGGCCCCCTTCCCCACTACCCTGCTGGCCCCTGGCCCCCCTCCCCCCTCAGCGCACAGATGGGGAGACGGAGACCCAGAGAGGCCCAGGGACGTGGCCAGGGTCACAGGTTCAAGGCAGAGCAGGGCAGAGTCCCCTCCCCCTGCCACCACGTGGCGTCCATGTGACAGCGCGGGTAGGCGTGTGCATATGCGTGTCTGTGTGCCTGTGCGTGTGGACGGGAAGGTGAGCCAGGGCGTGCCTCATTGAGGTGGGCTGAGGAAAGCCTGCGGGTCTGCAGTGCTGGCTTAGCTGGAGCTGGGCCTCTGCGGCCCGACTTCCTCATGGCCCCAGGCCCCCTTTCCAGGTGCAGAGGTGCTGGACTAGGGCCACAGGAGGAAGGAGATGGGGGCTGCTTTTCCGTGCCCCTGACCTTCAACCCTGAGCACCCTCCAAACAAGGGCCATCTGGGTTCCCCTAGGACCCAGACCAGGGCCCACTATGGACTGCCTCTGGGTGTTGCTACATCCCTCTCTGTAAGCTCTGATGCTCACGTTCTGGGTTATGTCTTACAGGTACTAGGGCTCTGGTTATCTTGGAAGTTTGGGGCGTCTAAACCCTAACCTTTGCTTAGCCATTCGGCCAGGGGTCTCACCACCCAGCCCTCAGCACCAGGGTTCATTTAAGTGTAAATCTAAGGAATGAGCCCTGGGGGCCATTCTTCCACACACCCACCTGCCCATCCATTTCTCTTATGTCCTTCTATCCACCCGCATTAGCTTGCTGTTGATGTTGTAATAAATTACAGCAAACTTAGTGGCTTAAAACAACACAGTTTATCATCTTACTGTCCTGTGGGTCAGAGATGGGTCTTGCGGGTTAAAATCAAGATGTGGACAGGGCTGCGTCCCTTCTGGAGGCTCTAGGAGAGAATCAGTTTTCTGGCCTTTTCCAGTTTCCAGAGGCGGCCTGCATTCCTTGGCTGGAGGCCGTGGCCCCCGTCTTCAGAGCCAGCAGTGATGTCACTCAGCCTCTACTTCAATCTTCACAGCACCTCCGCCTCCCCTTTTCATTTATAAAACCCTGGTGATTACACTGGGTCCATCTGCGTGGCCCAGGATAATCTCTCCGTCTCAAGATTCTTCACTTATCACATCATCAAAATCTCTTTCGCCGCGTAAGGCAACATATTCACTGGTTTCAGGGGTTAGGACGTGGGAGTCTTTCGTGGGGGAGGCACTATTCTACCTGCCATCTCATCCTTCCATGTATCTGAGCATCTGTTCATTCACCCATTCATCCTCCTGCCATCTACCCACCTATGCACTATTTATCCATTGGTCCAGCCAGCCAGCCAGCCCGGCATTTATCCACCTGTCCTTCTATCCTTCTTTCTATCCACCTATCTATCCTTTTGTCTATCCGCCGCCCCCATCCATTCATCTGATCATTCGTCCACCATCCATCTCTCCATCCCTCAGTGCTAACTTTGGTCTTTCCTTTCCATCCTGTGTCCGTCCATCCATCCATCCATCCACTCACATGCACATCTGTCCATCTGTCTGTCCAGATGGGGCAGGATGCCAAAGGAGGGTCAGAGAATCACGGAGGATGTGGTGGGGACAAAGGGTGGGGCCCCAACCCTCCCAGACTCTGCCTGGCTCGGTTTTCCTCTTCCTCACAGCTCAGCTCCTTCCTGGAACCACCAGTTGTCACCACCGCCCCCCAAATGAATGGCTTCCTCTGCCACACCCACCTGCCCAGAGTGGGGCCTCTTGAGGCCACAGCTGACCCTCCCGGTCTCTGACCCAGGCCCCAGGGAGCCGGTGGGTGTTTGCTGAGTGGATTTGGACCCGTTGTTATCAGCAGGGTGGGCGCCACCCCCTCCCATCTTCAGGCACAGCCCCAGGGGCCACAGAGGGGACCCCCTGCCTGAATGGACAGCCAGATGCAGGGATGAGCCGGTCCTCACTGCCTCCAGGCCCCGTTTCCCCTCCTGAGCTCAGTGCGGGCTGAGCCCTGGGTTCCAGGAGAGGCTGTGGGAAAGACCCCTTGCAGACCCTTCTCTGGCCTCAGGGTGTCTTGCGGGGGAGTGTTGGTCACCCCAGGGCTTGGGGAGAGGGCCCTGGACCAAGCCCAGGATGACTTGATGGGGAAAAAATGCCCCCAAGAGGAGTATCAGGCTTTGACTGCCAAGACAACCGTACTTATCACAGCCTCGTCCTCCTTATCTCCCTGCTGCGACAAGGGAGGGGGCTCTGGGCTCGCTGGGCCCTTGTCCAGGACTCCGACCCAGAGGGTGGGACCCTGGTCAACCTCACCCTGCTTTCTCTGAATCTCATTGTCTCCGTGTCTCACTGTCTCTGTCTCTCACTGTCTCTGTATCTTTATCTCTGACTCCCTCTGTCTCCAACCACATCCTTCCTCTGGGGGCTTCACTCTGCAACACAGCCCTGGAGTCTCACAGCCCAGGGTTCTGCCCTTGTGGCTCCCCCAACCCTGGCCTTGGAGACCTCCTCCCCAGAATGGCCTCCTAGTGGCTTCTATGGCTGACCTTGGTCTGGGCAGTGACCCCCCATGCATGCTCCCCCAGGACCTGCATCCCCCCGCCCCCGCCCCGGTCTGCCTGCCCGGATGCTGAGGTGTGGCCAGCCTGGGGTCCTGGAACAGGACACTGTGTGGTCAGCCTCTCCCGGGGTCTGCAGCAGGCGCTCAGGTAGGAGCGCTGAGTGGGTGGGTGGGTGGATGGAGGGTACGTGGGCGGGTGTGTAGTAGGTGGGTGGGTGGATGTATGAGTAGTTAGCTGGGCTCAGACAGAACGGGTGATGGACAGACAGCTCATCCCGCAGCCCGGCAATGGCGGTCATCTATGCCCAGAGCCAGTCTGCTCCCGCCGGCCGGCTCAGTGCCCCAAGCTCCCCGCGTGACCTCCAGTGGCACAGGCCAGAGAGGCTGCCGCCGGTTCCTGGCACGTGCCCTCCGGAGAAGCAGGCAGGAACGGGTGTGCCTGCCTCGTGGGCCAGGGCTCCGAGGAGGGGGGCAGGAAGGGAGGCGGGCTGTGCCGGCGGGCATCCCAGAGGCCAACCGGGAGGCAGGGCTGGGCAGGGCCAACAGCAGCTCGAGACCTCTCGGTCACCCCAGACCGCCTCCAGCCGTGCCTGGGCCCCCGGTCCTCCCAGCGGCCTCCCCCAGGGCCACCCACCCTGCTGTCCGGGACCTAGCCAGGTCTACGCCGGTCACATCCCTGAGCTGCCCTTCTCCAGGGGGACCTCCAGCAGCGTCACAGACGCAGTGGGGGAAGGAGCTGGACTCAGGGATACACAGTGTCAGGATCTGAGCCCTGACTCTGAGCCCCCCGTCTGTGTGACCCTGAGTCAGACAACGAAGCAGGGCTTCAGCGTCCTAATCTGTAGCAGGGGCCTGTGGCCGCCCTCCCTTCAAGGCAGGCAGGTCTCTTGCTCCCCCCCACCCCCCAGGGGTCCAGGCTCATACTGATGGGGCCTGGGAGTTCCAGCCCCCAACGGTACAAGACCTGAAGTCCCATCATTGTCACCTCTGCTCACCCCTCGGGAGAAACACAGTCTCCTGAGGCCCCTCAGCAGGGCCCCCAGGCTAGCAGCCCTGGCTAGGCCAGAGAAGCAGTGGTTTAATGAGGAAACAGAGCAACACGGCTGTCCTGAGTCTGAGGCCAGCCCCAGGGCCGCGGCCCCAGCATCCCTGCAGCTCCCGGCGGAGCTGTGAGGTCCCCCTCCTGCTGCTGCACCTGTGAGGCTGGTGAGGCCCCGGGGCTGGGGTCCAGAAAAGGAACCAGGCTGGGGGGCAGGGCGGGGTCTGGCAGGGAGGGTGCAGGCCCCTTCTCTGTCCCCAGGCTGCGCCCTGCACAGCCCACTGCCCACACACAGCCCTGCAGCACGCTGCGCACTGAAAATACTGGCTCTGGGTGGGGGGTAAACCTGGGCTGGTGGGGGGCCCTCTGCCCCCCTTTCCTCCCCCAGGCACCAGCCCCGCTCTGCCCCCAGCTCTCCTGCCCACGGCCCACAGTGTACCGTGGGCCTGCCTGGGCCTCAGTCTCCTCCTCTGGGGGGCGGGCTGGGCTCCCGCGTTTCGAAGGGCAGCCTTGCGTCCCCCGTCGGGAGCGTCTGGTTTATGCCCCTGCCCACCGCACCCCAGTCCCATTCTCCCTGTGGCAGGAGGAGGGGAAGTGGAGGTGCGGGGGCTACTTCAGCAGCCCTGGGGGCTCCTGGCCGGAGGCGGGGCTGTACCGCAGGCCAGGCCTCCTCTCACCCGCTCAGGCTCTGCACAGGGTGAGGGCTGCGTCCTGTCAGTCTGTCCATGCTCCTAGGCCACCAGGGCCTGGCCATCCCACCCCCACTGCAGAGAGGAGGAGCCGGGCTGGTGGGGGGAGGGGGAAGGAGGGCCAGACCTGTTAACAAGCTTCTTCCCAGCCCCCACCCGCCTTAACTCCCCAGGCCCTTCCCAGGCGGAAAATTCAATTAGTTTCGAGCAACTGCTTTGCTGAAGAACCAGAGAAAAGGGGCAGGAGAGAAAGCGGATCCCCCGGCGGCTGGTGTGTGTGTCAGGGGCATGGGGGAGGGGGGACATGGGCAGCAAACAGCCTGCTTAGGTGTTTCTGCTGAGCCTCTGTTCTGTGTGTCTCTAAATGCGACTCTCTGTGTGATCATGGGTCCCTGGGTCCCAGCGTGCCCACGTCTGCTCCCTGCGCAAACACGGCCTTCACAGCCCTCGGCACCCCGACATGTGCCCCCCACCTCAGCCATGACTGCAGACCCCCACCCTGCGTCCACTCCAGGCTCCAGGTTCTTGAGGGAGGAGGCCTGGGGAGCGGTGCACACAGAAGGGTAAGAGGCCCCCCGTCCCCCGCAAACTGCATCCTGCTCACCTCCCGCTCACAGTGTGTGGTGTGCCCCCACTTCCGTCTCCACACTGACCTCTTGTCCTGTCCTCGGATGCTCTAGCCTCCTAACCACAGGGCCTTTGCACATACCATCCTCCCATGCCTGGCAAGCCTCCCCTGCAAGAAGCTTGCCCCAGTGTGGGTCAGTCCTTTTCACGCTCCCATCATCCCTGGCTTCACAGCAAGCAGCCAAAAGTCTCCCTCTGTGAGGGAGTGGGGAGCAGACCTGTTTGGATCTTTCTCTGTCCTGGTGCTCAGCATGGGGCCTAGCACACAGCAGGTGCTCAAGTAACATCGGCTGAGTGAATGAAGTACCAGGCCCACGCAGGAGTTTAGAAAACAGTGAGTCCTGCAGCAGACACACCCATCTCTGCTGGCGAACTCCTATGCACCCTGCTATGGCCTGGCTTCCAGGACCCCCTCCTCCAGGATGTCCAGAGCGCTCTGAGGACCAACAAGAAGGAACATCGCATCTTAGCCCTCAGCCTGGGACCCACTATTCCCTGTCTCTGGCCCACGGTCTCCCTTTACCCACCCAGGTAGTCCTTCATGGCAGGCCTCCAACATCACCAGAGTGCACGATGGGGGCGGGGTGGCCCCTCATCCTGGCACCCCTGGCCCCACTGTCCAGCTGGACTTCTCCCTCCTGCCTCCCTCCTGCTCCCCACTCAGTGCCAGGGCCTCCCTGAGCCCTGCGTGGGGGTGGAGAGGTGCCCACCTGAGCCGGGAGCATAGCGGGTAGGCATGACGTGGAGCTGCTGGGGGACCAGGTGGGGGGAGGGAGCGCTGCCCCTCTGAGCACTTCCTCGTGGGGACCCCTAGTACTGCCAGGGGAGGGGTCCCTGCCGCAGGTCCAGGTCCGCGGTGGGGTGCGGGGCCCCAGGGCCTGCTAGGGAACAAGAGAGGTTTGGGAAGGCAGATGTGGGGAGGGGCCCGTGTGGAGGAATGTGGGCTGGCCCCTCCTGGTTCCCCCGAGGAGGGACAGAGGCAGATGGCAGCTGGGGGCCTGAGAAAGGAGGGGGAGGCCCGGCCAGCCCGGCCTGAGTCTCTGATGGGCGCCTATGGCCCCTCCTTGGGATCTATGGGGGACGCAGCCTTCTCAAGTTCCCGGCCCCCCACCCTTTGCCAGCTGTGTGCAGCTGGGGCCTCGCCCAGAGAAAGCCAACGCTGGTGGGGGGGCGGGGGACCCAGGGCTGCACACGGGCTTCCCCACCAGGGCCTCGGGCCATTTGTGACCTACTGTGTCTGTCATCAGCAAAAGGGGTGACCTGTGAGCCAAGCCCAGGGCTAGGCAGGGCTGAGGCTTGGGTACAGCGGAGCAAGGCCCTGAGCCTCAGTTTCCCCGCGATTGTACCTCCAGCTCCTTTCCCCCCGAGGGCACCTCACCACCTCCCTGAGGAGACAGGGCGAAGCCCTCGACCCTCTCCCCTTGCTGGGATGCAGGACTGAGGCTTGGGACACACCCAGTTGGGGGGAAGCGAGCTTTGCCTGCAGGGGCCAATGCAGAGAGCCAGCCTTCTCCTGAGCCCCGCCCTCAGGCTCCCCACACCCCCAGTGCCCTTGCCCACCACCAGCCCACTTTGCAGACAGGGAGACTGAGGCCTCAAAGGCGCCCGCTGCCCAGAGCCACCCTGCCCCAGCGCCCTGGGTCCTGCCCAGAGCCTGGAGGGAGGGGGCCGAGAGGGGAGGGGCCGCCATGTGCCTGTACTCCCCCCGTTGACAGGGGCTTAGACACCTGTCCAGCCCCCCACCCCGCTCCGCGGGGTCCGCCCCAGCATTTCTGCACATCTCCACGTGCAAGGGGCTTTCCCCGCTCAGTGAGTGGGGGGAGGGCGGTTTCTCCACCACCACCACCCCCACACCGCCCCCGACATGGTTCCCGCCAGATTTCCTCCAGTCCGACCTCACAGACGGTCTCCGCGCTGCTGAGGGCCGTCCTGGGAACGGGCTGGGTGCTGTGGCAGGTCACTCGAGTGCATTTTCGGGACTGGCTCAGGGCTGGAGATGCCCTGGTGTTCAGAGCCGGCAGCCTGGGGTAGGGTGCGGGAGAGGCTGGGAGATAGAGGACAGAGCCCTGCCGAGGGGCCAGGGCAGGGGGTGCCCCAGGGGAAAGGGCCAGGGTGACGGGAGGGCACAGTGCTCCTAGTAGCCAAGGCCAGCCCTGAGACGGCCTCCCAGTGAGGAGACAGGTCACTTCTGAGCTGGAGGCAGAGCTGGGATGAGGGCAGGCGGCCACGGGCCACACCTGTCCCCACTGCTCCATCCGGTGTCCCCTCCAGCCCTGAAGTCTGCGGCTCAGGCCAGCACCTCAGACCACGTGGCCCCCTCTGACTCCCATCAGCCAAGGCCCAACAGACCCTGTCCAGTGGGTGCCTGGCTAGGGAACTCTTAGCCCGCCCAAGCCCGGGCTTTCCTGCCAGGACTGTGCACACAGCAGGGCTCAGCTGTGGAGGAAGCAGGGCAGGAAGGTGGGAGCTCATCCTCGTGCTGGCCCAGCACCTGCCCCTGCTTACCCACCCCACCAGCTCAAGGGGCCCCCCTCCTCCCTGGCTGCCTCCTTTAAGGGTCCGACAGGCCTTTTCAGGGCTGACTGATGGCAGGTCTGGATTTCCATGTCAATGGGCCGCCTGGTAAGCTGGTTAACAAGCCCCCAGCCCCATTGAGGAGTCTGTGGGGAGGTGTTAACACAAGCTCCATTCTCTGGGGCTCCGTGGCCCTGTGGTTGCCATGGCGCCCTGTGTGGCCTTTTGGGCCACGGCTAATCCTTTCTCTGGGCCTTTCATCCTGGCCGTCCCACCCCCAGGCTGGTCGCTGGTGACTCGGCCATGCCCAACAAGGCTGGTTTCTCTGCCGGGGTCAGAGGAGGCCATAAATCCAGCCCCCTGTCCCCCAGCCGCCTGGCCCTGTCCCTGTGTCCCTAGCATTGTCTCTAAGTCCCCAGCCCTCCCCCTCTGGGAACTCCAGTGGCGGGAAGGGAGCGTGTGCCAAGTGGTCAGCTCCTGTCCGGGGGAGTGGAGGGTCCCCAGGCCCATCCTTGGCCCTGTCCTCTGCTTGTCCAGCCTCTCAGCCGCATCCTCATCTCTGTGTTCCCTTCCCCTGGGCTCCCCCACCTTCAGCCTGGCCTCCGTGCTGTTCCTGGGATGTGCCAGGCCTGCTCCTGCCCCAGGCCCTTTGCTCCAGCTGTCTGTTTTCTTGTCTGGAATGTCCTTCCCTAGATGTCTGCGGTGTTCCCTCTGCCCACTCACTTTCTCCGTGAGGCCACAGCCCTGCGCCTCCCGATTCCTGCACCAGCTCTGTTTTTCCTGGAGCCTCGTCCCTTCCAACAGGCCTTGAGCAGCATCGGGTCCTCCCCGCTCCAGAACGCCAGCCCCGTGAGGGCAGCGACCCAGCACCACGGACGGGCCTGGCTCATGGCAGGGGGTGGATGCTCTGCATGAAAGGATAGGGAACTCTCAGCTCAGAGAGGGGCAGTCTGAGCCCCAGGGATGCACAGCTCAGGAGGTGGGCAAGGTCCCAAGTCTGGGCGTTCCGACGGCACGCTGGAGCGCTTCACTGTCCCATCTACCTCCTGGAAGCAGAATCTCTCCACAGAGACCTCCCTGCAGCATCCTCTGTTCCCAGCAGACAGAATCCTGGAGTCCTGCAATTCCAGGATTCAATTAGCCCGGCCGCCAGCCCCTTGCTTGTCTCCCCACGGCCCCTCTCCTGCCTAGCTTCTACTTGCATGCATCCAGCGATGGGAAGCTCACCACCTGGGCGGTGCAGCTGGGGAGAAGGTGCCTCTTTGCACAGGTATGCTCCCAGTTCTGGGTTCCAGCTCAGATGGCAGGGAAGCTCATCTTGGATGGACCTTGCCAGGGGCTCCTGTCTTGTGGTACATGGGTGACCGCTCCCTGGCTGGGCCGTGGATGAGTGGCTATCAGCAAGGATTCAGGCCTTATAGGTCCTGAGCATCCCCTGAAATTGGCCCATCTCTCGTCACCCTTCCTTCCACAGCCGGGCCCTGGGCCTCTGTCGCTCTCTGAACCTCACGACAATCACGTGAGGCAGGAAGGACTGGAAATGGCTCCATTTGACAGTTGAGAAAACTGAGTCTTAGGACGAAAGGTCTGGAGCCTCCTGTGGGGAGGCAGAGCCTGTCTTCTGACCCCACGGCCTCTCCCTAGGTCATGTGGCAAACGAGGGCGACAGCCCAGTCTCAGCGTCTCTCGCTGAGGGACCTCACGGGGCGAGGCAGCTTCCCGAGCCCCCGCGTACTTACTGAGTGTGAGGCGCGTGCGGCCCAGGCCCAGGCCCTACTCCCACTCCCACCCCCGCAGGGCTCTCGGCTCCCAGGGGCCACAGGGCTGACTAGGGGGCCGCCTACCCAGACTCCTGCCCCGTACCAGCCTGGCTGGGGGCAGCCGCAAAGGTGGAAGCCGTCCATAGGAGGCCCAGGCGGCGCTGGGGCTGAGCGGACCGCTGTGCAAAGGCGGGGGTGAGGGTGTCAGCTGGGCAGGGCCCCCAGGAAGACGGGCAGTAGCGATGGAGGCCGAAGCTCGGAGCGTGTAGTTGGTCAAGGGGTTCAGTGAGGAAAGCCAGCTGCGGGAAGGCTTGGGGGCCTCGAGAGCCTGTGGCCCACGTGGGAGATGCCCCGTCCGCCTCAGTTTCCTCACCTGTCGCAGGGACTGCGGAGGGGAAAACTCCCCCCCGTCCCCCAAAGGTGGGAGCGGGTGTCGGGGCCCGAGAGGAGGAGGGGGGAGCAGGGGCTGGGGAGCCTCTGTCTGCAGCGTGTAGGCGGGAGCCGGATTCCGGAACTCCCCAGGGAGACTGAGGAAGCTCCAGCTCGGCTGCCATTGGCTGTGCTGCCGGGGGCGGGGCCGTCCCCACCCTGCACTTCCTGCCCCGCGCTCCTCCCGGAGGCCCTCGGCGGACAGGTCGTGGGGGTCAGCACCTCTTGCCGTCCGGGAGACGTCTCAGCCCGGAGAGGACCAGAGGCTTGCAGGCGAAAACCGGGACCGTCCGGGGGACGCATGAGTGAACGAAGGTCCCAGCGGGGTGCAGGGCAGAGGGACACCCTGGAGGAGGAGCGGGGCGCGGGCATGGGCTGCACCTGGGGGCAAACTCCAGCTTCAGTAGCCTCTCCCCACCCCCCGCCAAGTCCAGCCTTGGGGTGGAGGTGGCAGAGCCAGCAGCCCTCACCGCAGCCCCCCTGGACGCTGGCGCTCACAGAGGATGTCATAGGCCCCGGTGGGGGGCACGGGGGCACATGGGTCTTCTGCCGTGTGGGCGCCCGCAGCCTGGAGCAGTGCTGGTCGGCGAGCCAGAGCGGGCCCGGCCGCCTGGGAACCCGCCCAGCTTCACGCCGGCAGGGGCCCAAGACCCCCACCCGCCAGCTCTGCTTTCCTCCATCCCCCCAACCCCGGGCCAAGCCCCCAGCCCAGGCCACCCAGCGGCTCCTCGACACCAACCAAAACTGGGGTGCCCTGGTTGAGAGGGTCCGCCTTCTCTGGCCTCAGTCTCCTGACTTGCAGCACGTACGTAAAAGCAGCCACTGTGCGGGGCCCAGAGGAACCCCACAAGGGCTCAGGCAGAGGGGGTCTCCTTGGAGAGCCAGGCAGAACAGGGGAGGCCACGGTCTCTGGAGTGAGGCGGATTTGGGGTCACACTGCTGCTCACAGCTTAAAAACATTCCCTGAGCGTAACCTCTGGGCTGGGCCCAGCGATTCCGCAGTGACCAAGACAAGACCAGGCTCTGAAGTTCGCAGTGTGGCAGGGCCGGCCTGACAATGACCATGGTGACGGTGGCAATAGCAACATGGGCCTGTTACTGCCCTCCCCGTGTGCCAGGCCTTGTGGTCAGCTCACGGGATCCTCACAACACCCTTTGAAGCGGGCTTCCTCATTGCTCCCACTTTACAAGCTGAAGAAACTGGGGCACAGAGAAGTTGAGGGGCTCGCCTGAGGCCTCCCAGCTAATAATTAGCAGAGCGAAGACTCAAAGCCCAGCAGCGTGACTCCAAGAGACAGGTGAGCTGGGTGACCTGGAGCAAAGCACTTAGGCCCCCTCGCAGCCTCAGTTTTCCCAAACTCCCTGGCTTGAGGTGAGGTCCCACCCATCAAACCCAGGGCAGGTCTGGCACAGGCGGAAGTAGGAAGTGGCCGGCAGGGCGTCCTGGACGCAGGCTCGGATGGCTCTCAGGCTGTGGGACCCCCTCCGCCCCGAGCCTCCCTTTCAGTACCTGTCAGATGAGATCATGACCCTGACCCCCCAGGAAGGACCGGGCGGCTGAGGAGCGCAAGGCCCTCATCAGGGGAGGTTTCCAGCTCTCCATCTGGCCATCTGTAGCCGGCAGCCCACCCCACTCCCCTGAGCCGCTGAACCCCAGACGGGCCCTGCACCCCCAACCAGAGCAGGCTAGGGCTGCAGAGCCAGCAGCGGGCGTGGACCATGCCCTGGGGGACGGCACAGAGGTCGTGGGAAGGGACAGCGAGGGAGGTCCCTGTGGACACACCTGGGCGGCCCAGCCTCCGGGGGGACGTGGAAGATGGCATCAGAGCCGGCCTGCCCCCCCCGAAGCCAGACGGCCCCCCCGCCCGCCGTCCTTGCTGGCGCCCCTGGGGAGTGACCCTCCCCCTGGCTCCACAGAGGCGAGGATGGGACGAGGCAGAGGAACCGGCTGTGCGGGACACCTGAGCCCGTTGACCAGGCCTCCCAGGGGGCGGCCGCCGGGGGGCTGGGAGGCTGAGACGTGGCCCGTTCCCACCGCCTGCCCCCAGAGGGCCTGGGAGGAAGCAGGTCAGCAGGTGGTGGGCCAGCTGGGACCTAGGCCTGCCTCGACCTACTTCTACTGGTCAGGGGAGACCAGGCCAGGCCCCTCCTGGCCTCAGTTTCTGTATCTGTGACCAGGGACATTGTCCTGCCCCTCCCAGGTCCCTGGGAGCAATACAGATGTGCAGGATCCTTACCCCATGTTACACTTGGGAGGCTGAGACCGGAGCAGGGTGTCTCCAGGGGGGCCCCGTGGAGCTCCCAGCTCTGCTGCTACAGGGCCAGCGCCCAGGGCCAAGGAAGCCACGCTCGGCATGGGTGCCCACAGACCCAGCTTCAGTCCCGGCTGGGCGAGCTCAGAGCCAAGCGTCCACTTGTTGTAAAAGGCACATTGGAAGATCAGCTGAGCCTGTGTCTCGGCGCGGTGATTACAGGTGGCAGCCTCCTTCCTCCGGTGGGGCAATCGCAGGCGGCAAGCTCTGGGCCTCACTGGCCCAGGGCCTGGTGGCCACTCACCCAGCGCTCATGCCCAGACCTGAGGCTGAAAGAGAAACGTCCTGCTAGGGGGAGGCCCAGCAGAGCGCCGGCCGTTAAGGGGTTGTCGGCCCATCTGCATGTGCCTCTCTGTCCTTATGTGGGGCAGGTGCCTGGGGCGCCCAGAACCAGCCGGGGGCACAGAGGCAAGGAGGCGCCTGTCTGTCCACCCATCCTGTGTGGAGGTGGGGACTGCAGACCACATTCCCGGTGGGCAGGCCTGGCACTGCCCATTCTCCAAGCCACCATCCCCGCTTCCATCAGCTAGGCTCTCTGTCCCTACTGACTCACACATGTCCAAGGGTGCCCTCCATGGCCCCGAGGCTGCCGTGAAGAAGTGCAGGGGCACTGGCGTGGCCGTGAGGGAAGATGCAGCCTCCCAGATCCTTGGCATTTAAGGGTATACTGGGTTGAATGGTAGCCCCTCAAAAAGATAGGTCCAACTCCTAACCCGCGGAACCTGTGAAGGCGACCTTATTTGGAGAAAGGGTCTTTGCGGATGTAATGAAGTGAAGGACATTGGGACGAGGTCATCCTGGATTTAGTGGGTCCTAAATCCAATGACAAGCATGGAGCAGTGCAGCCGCAAGCCGCGAAGCGCCAAGGACCGTGAACATTCCCCGCACCTGGAGAGAGGCCTGAGCAGAGCCCCCGCTGAGCCTCCAGAGGGAACCAACCCTGCCACACCTTGACCTCCGACTTCTGGCCTCCAGAACTGGGAGACAATAAGTACTTGTTGTTTTAAGCCAAGTTCATGGTCATTTATTACAGCAGCCCTAGGACAATAACACAGGAGAAAGGGGGTTCTGAAAAGGCGTATCTCCCAGAACCTGGGTGGGCGTGGACAGTGGTAAGGGCCTGGGAGAAGGCCCGGCCAGGGGACCGCTTGGGCAAGCCCTCCCTGACACCTTCCATGGACATGAAGGGCTGCTCCACAGACTCCTGAACCCTGGCTTGGGTTTTCAGCTCAGGTGGGCTGTAGGGTGATCTGAGATCAGCCGTCCAGGTACAAGTGTGACTGCCACCGTCCCAAGGGTCCTGAGCTGGGCTCCCCAGGGTCCAGCTGCATCCTTCCAGAGCTGCTGTGTACCCATAAGCAAATTCTGCCTGTCCCGGGGTCCCCGACCACTCCTTAGGGCAATAAGAACTCGGGGAGTATGTCTCCTGGGGTCCCCGGGCTCTCAGGGAAGCAGCGGTTCAGCCCAGGAGGTGCTGGGGGGACGTCGAGAGGGCCAAGTGTCCGCCTGCCCTGAGGTACTGCACTCAGGCCCCCAGGGCAGATGAAGGAGTCTCCCCACTCGCCCTGGGACAAGGCAGCTGGGTGACAGCCTGGAGGAAGAAATGGTAGAGGATTCGGATGAACTCTGGGGGAAGCTGACTCAGCCTCCAGAAGCCCCACTTCTCCAGGCAGCGCCTTCCTGATGGGGGCCAACCTTCCGTCCAAAGCCGTCGCCACCGGCAGGACAGGAAGCACGTGGTGCAGGCCACACCCCAGCCCCCGCCCCTGCCCGGCACTCTGGCCTGGCCTCGGCCTCCCACCTTGGCCCGGCCACCTCTCTGGGGAACACGGCTGAGGCCGGCCCAGCCTGTCTCCTCCTTCCCGAGTCTGCAGCTGCGCTGGAGGAAGGAGGCCACGCAGGCCGCCGGGGCCAGCTCTGGGCGCGTGTACACGCAGACACACGTGTCCCCCGTGCCCGGCCATACGCTGGCCAGCTGGCACGTGCAAACCTGGAGCCTCCACGGCCCCCACCCCCAGCCAGCGCACACAGGCCCACCGCACGTGTGAAGGCATGCACACATCGGCACACGTGTGTCTGGGGCACTCGGAGGAGTGCAGCTGGGCCTCTCTCTGCCAAACTGTGCACCGTGGCCCTGAAAAGCAGGTCCTCAGGACCACAGCTGGGGAAGGGTGATGGTGACGGAGATGCGGCGTGTTTGGGCCCAGCGGCTGAGGCATCCCACTCATTTCGGCCCTACTCATTCCCGCACTTGATTCTTCAAGGAGGAAACACGAGACCTTGCAGTTAGGACCTGAATTTGTCAGCCTGTGGTCTCCTGCTTCCTCCTCACCACCAGCAGGGACTGACCTGTGACTGTGTCAGCCAAGGATGAGCCTTGCAATCTGAGCAGGGGGCTGGGGGAGGACATCGGGTGAGAAGAGGCTGAAGAAAGCCTTGGGAGAAGTAGGGAGGGCCTGGGGACAGTGCCACGGCTGCTGTGCACGTGTGTGCGGGTCGTGCACTGAGCAAGGATAAACGACTGAAATCCCGCTCGTGCTCTGCTCCCCAAGCTGCAGAGAAGAAGCACCTTTTCCCATGCAGTGGCCCTGAGGTTCTAAGGACCCAGTGTGTACACATCTCAGCCTGCATGGCCGGGTCCGTGTTTCCCCGAGCCCCCGTGTTGACGCAGGGCTGTGTGTACATGTGTATATGTGCCGGCGTGTGCTCCTACCCTGGAGCATGCCCAGTCAGCCCCCAGGCCAGGCTCCCGTGGGCAGGGCGGCACGTCCCTGTCTGGCCCAGGATGCTGCGGTTCCCACGCTGTCACAATGGCCACACAACCGGGTCCCCCCCCACCCCAGGGGACGGAACCTAATCTCAGCCTATTGAAGACCTGAAAGCCGTGGCCCCTGCCCTGAGCCAGCAGACGGCCCCGCCCGGGACACCTGATCCACCGCTGCCCTCGCCTCAAAGGGGGACACTGCCCCCCCAGGGTCCCCCGCCCCTCCGGCATAGACGGGGAGAAAAACTGGGTCGCTGGGATAGAGTGACAGCAATGGCAGGCAGGGACAGGGCAGGGGTGGGGGGTGGGCCCCCCCCCCAGGCGCAGCCAGTCCCTGAGGATGCTCTAGGCCTGAAGAAGATCTGCCCCAGGGCACCCAGCCCTGCCGGGGCAGGGGACTGGCCTCAGATCACCAAGGAGGGGCTCTAGTTCGGCAGCCAGCTGAGAAGAGAGAGAAGCCACCTGCCTAAGACCCCACAGTGGGTTGGGGACAGAGCCAAGGCTGGGGACCCTCCCTTGTCCCACCTAGAGGGGTGCCCCTGGGCTATGCTGCAGGCCGGGGGCCTGGGGCCTGGGTCTGGGCACCTCCTGGGCCAGGCCAGCCAGCAGCGCGGGCCTGGGTATGTCCACCTCCTATTCGGTCTCCTGGCGGGACAGAACTACCCAGGGGCAGCCAGGGAGAGTCAGGCCTGGCCAGGAGCTCCTTCTGGGAGCAGTGTCTCAAACCGCCTCCGACCAAGTTCCGTTCACCACTGCCACCCTGTCTGTGCTCTGAGTACTGGGGCCTCCTGTAGACCCGTGCAGGGGAGGGGGCCCTGGAGCCTCAGCCCCCCAGGACTGCAGGATTTCCTGGGGTGCAGGAGACACACAGGAAGTGAAGCCCACAGATGCTCACTCTAAGGGTGGCTGCAGATGCGAGCTGACTGCTCTGTGACTCTCAGGGCCTCCGTCTCCCCACCTGTGAAATGAGACTTAGCTCTTTCAGGCTCTTCTAGCTCTTGGTACACCCAGCAAACTCAGCCCTGTTGCCTTGCCACTGTCACGTACTCTGGGTGCCAGGATGTGTGCTGGGGCTGGAGGGGACCCAGGATCGACAAGAAGGGAGTAAACCTGGAAGACTTCCCCAAGGAGGGGGCAGCTGAGCAGGGAGGCTGAGCTGGAGGTGGGGTGGGACACAGGCAAATGTACTGGCTGGGAAAGCGGGAGGAACGTGGGTTGGCTGAGCCCCGGGGTGTGTAGGGGGCAGACAGAGATGCTGGGATGTGGGCAGGCCGGCCCTCCCGAGAGGGTAGTGAATGGGGAACCAAGGAGGGTGTCGGGCCAGAGCGCCATTTCTAGGGTTCAGGGGCCACCCAAGACCACACTGCCAGCTCCGCAGTCTGCTCCAGCGCCGGGCGAGGACTTGAGCATCTGGGGCTTGGAACTGGCCTGGAATTATGATCCACCTCCCACCCCAGGTGGCCAGGGAAACTGGGCCAGAGAGGTGCGTGGGCTCTGCAACGTGGTCCACAGGGTGGGCTGGCTTCAGCCCTGCCCCCGAACTTTGGTCCAACCGAGTCAGGTGCTTGAGAGGAGAAAGGGGCCACGGGGCCTTTGCAGGGCTGACATCACTGTCAAGCTAAATGGCCCTCCAGCCGACCCCAGAGGTTGCCCGTGGGCCACCTACGGGCTCGCTCCTTCCTGCGGCTTCCTCTGGCAGCGGGGAGATTCCTGACGTCCGCAGCGGTTGCTTGGCAAACATTCATGGTCACTGCAGCTGTGCCAAGCCGGGAGCCAGACCCTCCTCTCCGGGTGCACCAGGGAGGGGGTGTCAGACAGGAGGGCGCTCCGGGCACTGATCGGGCCCTCCTTTCCTGCTTGTCAGATGGCAGTGGTCCACAGCACCACACCCGAGCGTGCTCTAGAACTGGGGTGGGGGCTCCGGGCAGACCACCGCGCCCCAGCACCGTGTGTCACAGGCCAGCTCACTTCCCTCTCTGAGCCTCAGCTTCCTCATTTGCAAAATGAGACCGGGAGACACGCCCTACGAAGCCTGTGACCCCGCAGGCCCTCCACTTTCCTGCCTGCCCCCCTCCGCCGGCTCCCACACCCCCTGCAGCTGGCAGGGTGGACCAAGGTGCCCTCTCCTCAGGGCCTGGTTGGCAGCAGGCGGCACGGCCGAGGGGCTGTGGGTGGGGGTGGGAGCATTTGCACTTGAGGGCAGGGTCGGCGAGAAGCCCCCGGCGGCCTGGGCGCAGGAGCCAGGGCCTCAGGAGCTTAACCTGGCAGACACATCGGCAGTTCCGCCTGCTGCTTCTGTCAATACGAGCCTTCCTGTTTTGGAGATTAAACCTCGGCTGAGCAAACAGCTTGCAAGGAGGCCTCTCCCGGCCAGCTCCCCATCCCCGGCCTGTCCCGAGGCTGGAGCCACCTGGAGGCTGTGAGGGGTGGCAAGGCTGGGAGGGAGCCCCCTTCCCTGCGCCAGGCCCTGCACCACAGCCCAGGCCGCCCCCAACCCCCCCCCCCGCCCCACTGACCCCTGCCCAGGCCTCCACCGGAAGCCCCCTGTGTAATCCTTCCGCTCCGGGGCGGGCGCACTGTCCCAGCGGCCGACTGCCGCACCCTCTGCCCTCATATAACCTCCTGCAGGCAAAGGGGGAGCAAGCCGCTCCTTGAAGCCTCACTGCCAGGCACATGCCCACAAGGGGCGGACCCTGGGCCTGGCAGGAGGGCCCGCCCCAAGCGCCCCACGGAGGCCCGAGCCTGGAGAGAGACCTGTCATTTCACTGGTGATTGCTCCCCCTCAGCCTCTTGGCACTGTGGGTTGGAAAATTCTTTGTTTAGGGCCTGTCTGGCATGTAGTAGGACGTTTAGTATCATCCCTAGCTTCTACTGACAAGCTCCACTAGTACCGCCTGACCCCAGAGGTGTGACAACCAAAAATGTCTCCAGGCATTGCCAACTACCCCCGGGGGCCAAAACCACCCCTAGTTGAGAACCCAGGGGCAAGCCCTGCAGACAGTGTACAGACAGCTAAACTGGGGCTGCAGAGGGAGGGCAGAGCCGCAGAGGCTTGGGCCTCCCTCTGATGCTGGCCTCAGCCCAGTCTTTGTCTGGTCCCCCTGGCCTCCCGCCTCCCTTCCCACCAGGGTCCACCCACCTCCGAGCAACCTGGCCCCACCCTCTTCCGAAAATCCTCCCCAGACTCTTTACTGTTGGCACAGGCTCCCAAGGAAGGGAGGAGGGAGCACAAAGTCCGACGTTGCCCC